CCATATTTATATATAAAGCAAGTGGACATGTAAGACCATGTATAACCTTGAGATTTTAAATGTTTGCCAAAATGTATGTCAAAATTTGCAGTAAATTCTTGCAGTGATCTACTCAAATTCTCTTGTAATTTTCTTAAGAACACCGATTAGTCAAAGTATTTTCAGTAGTTTTTAAGCATCTGGAGTTAAGTTAACCGAACCTCCTGATAAAGTGACTTTGTAATGTAAGTACAAATAGTAGTGGGATTGATAAACTACCATTGGAACGATAACATCTTCAACACATGATATAGACTACTACCTATAAGTATTAAGTAGCGTATAATGGCAAGACTAATTTATGGACGAGCAAATCATGGGCGTTTTAGAGATTTCAAGGTTACGGTGCCAACTTCAGTGCTTAATGCTAACTTACGATCGGTTCACAGGGAATTTTGTACAAAACGTGATAATTGAGCGGTTTTAAGAAATAAAACATCGAGACTATAATTTGTGGACGAATCAATCAGGCATAAGATAATAGATCTCGGATTTTAATCCGAAAGCCTTTCATCTATTTGGCTAAATAGATTTCTAGCATTATAGCTGATGTCAGTTCATGATGAAAACCCTACATATAATTCCCAACTAAGGCAAATTACGACAATTATTGAGAACTGGATACTAAAAGCACCAGTAACACTGGCTGCAACCAGGTACTACAATATATGCGGATGTTTGGAGAGCGTACAGACTCCTACATAGGCTTGGTTATGTGCACCGTGTTGTTATCCAAAAGTGGTATTTTATGTACTGAACAATCGGAGTGCACACAAACAATATTTAAGCTATGTGGTCGAGGCTGAAAGAGTTTTTGAGACTTTATCATAACTCCAGAGGCCGACTATTCCGTAGCCATATGAATGATTTCCTCTACTGCATGCATAACGATTTTAGAACCTCTGAACCTCTTCCTAACCTTGACAAGTTTTTGAACCATGTAAAAAATGTGTATCCATTTTATTTCTTTGAATTTGTATAATTTATTTTTACTCTATACTGACTGTTTGCTGATTGACTAATATTTCCGAAAGTCACTTAAGATTCGTTCAAAAGTCGTCCATAAATTAGAATCTCGCCGTGTGTAATAGATGAAAATCTATTCCATGAAACGAAAATTAAATCGATGGATTATTTCTTAATCAAGGAATCTTAGACGAGAGTTCTATTATGTTAGTAGTTTAACATTTGAAGATTAACAACCTAGATCCTTGAGTAACACAGTATAAGAGGGTTATTTGTCAATAACAACAGTTAAAATCCTGTAAGATAAAAAAAATATCATAGTGGATATGAATTAGTTTCATATATACCATTGAGACTATCAGCTAATGAGGTAGGAATATATTCACATTACATTTTGAATTATTATTCTATTATGTGTTCTGCATATTTTACCAAATGTACTACCAAGTTTATTTCATTTTCAGACTGATTGTGAAATAGTTTTAGTTACTACCTGTTATAACCTTGGATGTTTGACTTTTCTATCACGCGACATATCAACCAATCAGGATCCGACTTACACAATCTTCGCACTATGCCAAATCAATGACGTTCAACCGGTATGAACAGTTTAGCGTCCTTATTGGTCCTATGTCCTCCGAGCCCCTCCACTTGAGTCCAGAACACAATACCAGCTTCCGTAATATGAATCGAATCGAATCGTTTATTTCAGACATACTCGGTTTATATATCAATCAGACAGACCACAACGTACCATAAAATAGAAAATAACATGTATACAAAAATAAGCCAAAAAGTGGCTGTGAACGAGGGGGACAGTAATTAATAGACTGAGCATAGCTTAAGAATCGTAAATCGTACAATAATAAAATATAGGTCCAAATAAAGCTTATAATAAGAGGAATATAAATATACATAATGTAATTGTTGAATAGTCCATTAATAGTCCTCGTGAGTTACCTGTAATTTAATCTTCACTGGGTTATAACACAACCTGAGTACGATCATTAGTTATTAATTTCACAAATTAATAGAAATATGGTGCTTAATGTAACAGTGTGATGAATACTACTTATTTCGACTGTCATAAGTAGTATGTAACACTAGCCACAAGTGAAATACCTAACAGTAGATGATTAAAAAGATCGAACTGAACAGAACAGAAAGAGAAACAAAGAGGGATTGAAATAAAAACAACATTGAAAGAATCATGAAGTATGTAAAAGGACAACTGATGGAATATATGCAAATGATGTATTTTATGCATGAGTGTTCACTCACCACAACAGTAGTACTGATGGTATACAGCGAAGCTTTTTCTTTATTAGTGTTTGACCCTTAATTGATTTCAATTAAAATACATACCCCCCCCCACACATTTCATTTCATCAACATTCATTAACATTATATCATTTCTTATAATGCAAATTCGAAAACACTAAAATACAACATGTTTGAAGATCATACAGATTTTCAGCATTCATATATGAGCAGAAAACATGAAGAGTATAGTACGTGTATATGGAACTTGACCTTTGGGTAAGGTCTCTGAATAACAAATGACTCAACATTTATAGTCAAATAATAATGTATACCATACAAGAACACATACACCTCAACAACGGGTATATTCGAAGTACTACATACTCACTTTCATGAAAATAACTACAATAGGTCTCCAGTGATAATCCTAAGAACATATATTTGCTTAGATGCTCACAAAATACATAACCTTATTAAAACGACATTGTACTGGCTTAGCTTCGTTAATCAATCACCTTGATAACCATCGTTATATACATCTCAGTTCTGTATGAAACTAGAAGGCAGTAATAAGTGACAACTACAACAGCATAGACAACAAAGTTATAAACATATTAAACGAATTGGAAGCAGAGAGGTGAATATATGTGTATGCGAGTAAATACAGAGGTGAATTTATAGTCAAACTGATTAAGATGCAACTAATCAAAGTAAAGGTTAATCATAGGATTCGAGTACATATATACATAGGAAAGAGAATGATTCATCGAGTGATATTTAAGCGATTAACATTTTAGTTACATAGAGCTATATATGCATAGGTTGTCATATGTGGATCAAGTGTATACATTTATACGGACAAATACAAAGAAATAGACGAATTGTTACTGCTGGAACAACGTTATCTGTTAAGGTTAGTTAACAAAAAGGGATTAACCAGAATTTAATCATAATCGAAATTGATTGTAGGAGAGTTGCTTTAACATATTAGCTGGTTAAACAAAACGTCGGCTGGATAGAAGATATGAATTGTTAGTTGTGCTGACCTCCTCGACTATACTTATTATCAGTGTCGATGATATAATATACAGTAATGTTTGGATTATTGCACGAAATCTAAACAACAAATCCATTCATTTATAATAAGAATATGACTTCATGGTATGTTATAGTAATCTATTTCTAACATTAAGCAAAATGATACATAAATTTAAACTCTGTACACAATTTCCCATGAATTTCCTTTTTAAAATATGTAAATCATTTTTACATTGTAAAACCTTTCGAAAACTAGTTTTTGCTTGTCTTTCATGTTTAAGTTACCATAATGCTCCATTGATTAGTTAATATAGTGCACATGTACGTAATTTGTCCAGGAGCTCCTCTGGGGCTACTTTCGATCCCAAGCCCGGAGAAAGGAGGAGGATTAAGCATGGGTTAGTGATCTCAACCCGTAGAAAAATAACTCGCTAAAAATGGTCCACGGCTGAACTCGAGGAAGCCCTAAGAAACTCAGAAAGAGTCGAAGATATTTCATCCAATCATCATTTGGAAGAATATTCCGAAATCCCTACGTGTAGCTTTTCTATTCAACTAATGCTAATAAACCCCTGTATGTGGATTGGATAACTATAATGATGATTTCGTTTTTACTAAAAACTATAAATATCTAACAGTTCTGTACCATAAATGACACTGTTTGGAATAACATTCGTTCCACTTGTCTTCTGTGTTCTCATTCGCAACTTAGGAGGGTTCTAGCATTCGAGTGCTCAAGTTATACGTGGCATATTAAGAATCTGAACTCTAGATATAACAATTAACATATGTGATCCTTGTATGGTTGTACTTGAAGGTTAATGAAACTAGTGATACAATATAACTAAGATGTCAATGGTATCACTTAGAAACAAATTCATTACTTTCAACTTTGACAACTTACACAATAAGCACAAAAATTCATTAATAGTATTAAGAATATCTACTTATAGTTGTTTGCATATAAGATTAAACTGATCAGTTCGATTCCCAGAAAAACTCATTACTTTATTTTAACTGTCTATATACCTGATTAACAAGTCTGAATTGAGATGAAATTTCTATACAAAGACCACACTATTACCATTCAACACTTCATATACAATCTTTTACAGTATAAACCTATTTCACTATTTCAATTATTTATATATATCAAATACGTTTGAATTATTTTTATGGTTAGCGTTGTTCTAGTTAGTTAGTTGGGTTCGCTAACCTCATGCCCAACACTTCTCCTTTATCCGGGCTTTGGACCGGCAGTAGCCCAAGGGAGGGGGTCCAGGAGGAGTGTTCAGATCAGTTGGCCAGACACTATCAGTAACAATCTACTGTGGGAGAAAACAAACCAGACCCCAGGAATGGAAGAAATCAGGAAGAACCACTGCAAGTGGATAAGACACAAATTGAGGAAAGCACCCAACAGCATCACAAGGCAAGCCCTCACATGGAATCCTCAAGGCCAAAGGGGTTGGAGAGGAAGACCAAAGAACATATTACGGCAAGAAATGAAGATAGACATGAAAAGAATGATTAAAAATTGGATAGAATTAGAAAAGATTGCTCAGGACAGAGTGGGTTGTAGAATGCTGATCGACAGCCTATTCTCCATTGGGATTAACAGGTGTAAGGAAGTAAATTATATCCATCTAAATGCAAACACTAGCAAATTATTACATAAGAATATAAAATTCCTCTTTTTATAGAAGAATATTAGATTATTATTTGATATAGACATATTATACAATTCATCATAAATCATAGAATAGAACCAGTATAATTATAGTCTTTTATAAGTTTTCTAAATGAAAAATTTAATCTCTCTACATGATTTATTTTTTAAAGCTCATTTATACTACTGACAAAATGAAGCAGTAGTATAAATGTTACACCAAAAAAGTATGCAAAAGGCTTATTATATGGTAAGAATACAGTGATAGGTTAAAACATATGTAGATATAGATATGTAAATATTGATTAACGTTCTATATTAGAAAACTGACGTGGTGCAGGACGATTGGAATAATTCACTTTTGACATTGGTCTTGTTGTTTGTTGTTGTCCTTGTTTATTATCTAAAATTACATTCGATATTGACCGATGATTATCTTTACGATCTATTTGTTCTTGTAATATATTTTCTAATTGATTAATACGTTGATCAGCTTCACCATAAACTTGTTGAAGTTCTTGAATTCTTTTAATTGATTGTTTACTCTTAATGAATACTGTTTCTGAAATTTTAAAAAAGAAAATAATAGTTCACTTTAAAACAAATTCATTCTGCCTGGAGCCCCTTTTGGGGTTACTGTCGGTCTCAAGCCCGGATAAAAGGAGGAGGGTTGGGTATGGGGTTAGCAACCCTATCCCGTAGAAAACTAACTCGCTAAAACAATACTAACCAGAAAAAATAAAAATGTTTAAAACAAAATGATATCATAAGTATTGAAGTGATATTGAATATGGGCAATATTATTATGGTAAGATCTTGTAGTGTCGGTTATTATGTTATTAAGTCCATATACCACATTCTAGCTTTCGGACAGCCTATTCTATTCATTTTACTTGAGTCACATTCTGACCTTGTTATTTATTCGCTTATCAATCTTGGCTGTTTTTGTATGAGCGCGTAGTTGTGTGTACATTTCTTATTCCATTACTCATCGCATGTCTGTAACTTACTTTTGTGTAACTATAAATGCTGATTAACGTTTGGTTAAATGGGAGTTGGCTAACCAGCCATCTTCACTCTGCATCGTTTCTCTTCTTTCTATTCCATCCGCTTTATATACAAAATATATGTATTCAAAAGTCCATTCTCGGTATTTGACTTATTTAATTTCTTTATTGACTAACACGATTAAAGTCGGTGATTATATATTAGATGATAACAAACATTCATACGATCTAATTGGAGTCAGATCAACGGGTCACTAAAGTGGAGAGCCCTTTCGGCAACATCGTCCGACCTAAATAACAACAAAAATAACGGGCCTCCACAAAAATCTCATTTGCTTTATCAAAAATATTTATTTGAGCCTGAGATCACTTTTTTTGTCACTCATCAATTTCAACCTGGAAACTTTTGAAAATAAAAAAGCATATGACATTTGTTTCATCTTAATGCTAGACTTTATATTCATGAAGTAACCATTGGTCTAAGCCATCCTTTTTTAGAGTTCTGTGATAAGTTCCATATTTGTAGATCACTGTAATGAATAAGTCATTAGATGCTTCATTGAAATGCACTGCTGACAGTTAAAACATTCGGATGAATTATTAATCTACTGAAATCTGTCTTTAAAGAATCGTTTCTCAGTTTACAATCGAACAAATCTCTAAGATTAACCAATTAAAAATCAATCACACACCTACTTATCTTAGAATTATACTGTGAAATGGTGACTAATTGAATTCAATCACTTAGTTACATTGTATGATTATTATGTTATGCTACAAATGAATTAAAGATAAAATTATGGTTTTGAAGTAACACACCTAATGTTGGATACAAAAAGTCTGACTTCGATCTTTGCCAAAATCATGTTGGTTCACTGATTTAGAGACTTGTAATACAACGAAAAAGTTTTCTTGTGTTTTCTATTTTTGGAATAGATTCACAGCCGAAGAGAATCGTTTCAAGTTTACGATTGAATAAATAAACAGTGGAGCTAATCTGTATAGGGTTTAGACAGTTATTTACCACAGTACAATGGGAGATGGTCGCGCAATTTCGTGGATTGGTTGAGGTTAGACATGAACACTGTTGAATGCCAGCTCGGTAGTCTAGATGTTAAGTGTTCACGCGTAAGACTGAAGGCCCTGGGTTCGAATCCTGTGGGCAGGAGCATGGATGCGCACTGCTAAGGAATCTCACAATTGGATGAAACGTCCATCCAGTACTTGTAGGTTTTTAATGATGGTCTAAAATCGATCGGTTCATGATGTCAATCGATAACTTAATAATCTCCATAACCGCATACTGATGAGATATATTATTTCATAGTAAGAGATTTTGTATCCTTTGATAAGTGATAGAAACATTTCTGAAGTAGAAAAAAAATTGTATCTTTTATGTTTGTTGATTGATTAGGTTGTCATGACAATTTTTAGACTGAGTTAAAGGATTAAGACAATACGATGAGATGAACCTTATCAGTACTATGATAAGGTACTATAATGTATGAATTGTACGAGAATGTTCATTTCAATTCTATAATATTAAATAGCTAGTAGTAATACTCCTTAAACTATCTTTCATTTGATATGCTTTCAATGGTGTAAGCATTATTTGTAGAAATGGCACTATCAAAGAACCTTAACTTCAATGAGCATAACTGCAATAATTCAATGTTAATTTATATGTATTACTAAATATTCTGCTAGATGTAATGCCTGGATTCTGAAATTACAGAATAAGATTGATTAAATGACGAATTAATTGGAAACAAAATTGTATTTTTAACGTCTTGATGAGAATACTTAATAGATCTTCATTTTTAGCATTGACTTCAATAGGTTGGAATGTTTATGGAAAGTACAGTATGAACATGTCGTGGTACGGCCGATAGTGGGGAGAGTTAAATCTCCCTTTCGAAACTACTCTTATCACATGTTATTATTATATCTAATTTCCCTAAAATGAATATTTTCGATGAGCTGAATAGTTTGGTCGTAGAGTTCTCATCAGTACAAATTTCAGATAGAAGTGAATTGTTCGAATTAGAGATATAACCAAAACGAAGAAGTAAACAATAATAGGTTTAAGGTCAACAACAACCAATCAACATCAAGGTCTACAGGACAAGCTGTGAATCACATATAGAGAAATTCAAACATTCACAGTTGATTGATCACTGAATGGTGATCAATGTCATATGTGTCAAGTCTTTATTAGTGACACGGGATCAAATCGTACAGGGAGCACCAGTTCCCTTAAGATTACAGGTACACCTTGTTGACCAGTGCCAAGTAGTACGAAACCTGGGTCAAGAGTTTCCTATTGATTACCTCCAACCATCATCTAAAATTTGAACACTTCACGGCTAGGCTCTAATTTATGGACGCCTTTTGACCGAATCTCAAGTAACCTTGGGAAATATTAGCCAATCAGCAAACAGTCAGTATAGAGTAAAAATATATTATACAAAACCAAGAAAATCAAGTGGATGCACATCTTATACATGGTTCAAAAACTTATCAGGGTTAGAAGGAGGTTCAGAGGTTCTAAAATCGTAATGCATGCAGTAGAAGAAATCATCCATACGGCTACGGTATAGTCGGCCTCTGGAGTCATGATAGTCTCAAATACTATTTCAGCCTCGACCACATAGCTTCAATATTGTTTACGTGCACTCCGGTTGTTGAGTGCACAAAATGCTACTTGTGGATAACAACATGATGCACATAACCAAGCCTATGTAGGAGTCTGTACGCTCTGCAAATATCCGTATATATTGTAGTAACTGGTTGCAGCCAGTGTTACTGGTGCTTTTAGTATCCATTTCGCAATAATTGTCGTAATTTGCCTTAGTTGGGAATTATATGTAGGGTTTTCATCATGAACTGACATCAGCTATAATGCTAGAAATCTATTTAGCCAAATAGATGAAAGGCTTTCGGATTAAAATCCGAGATCTATTATCTTATGCCTGATTGATTCGCCCACAAATTACAGTCTCACCGCTTTATTTGTTATAGCCGCTCAATTATCACGTTTTGTACAAAATTCCCTGTAAACCGATCGTACGTTATGATTAAGCACTGAAGTTGGCGCCGTAACCTTGAAATCTCTCCATAAATTAGAGTCTCCCCCACTTCACTTCTATCTGAAGTTTGCGCTGACGATTAAAAATCTTCACAACCAAACCATGTAGATTGGAGAATAAAACTTCATCTAAATCATCCACCTGAGATATAAATCTTCTTCATTATCTCAACAGATTCATTCATCCTCATCCTCATTTAAATATGTAACTATATAGAGAAATTTCACACGAATAATAATAATAATAATAATATACACCTATATTCATTTCATGTTTAACTCTAGGTGTATTCTAACATTCTTTGTGTTTCTGGTTGACCTGTTAAAACACGATTTATAATTCTCTTTGACAAATCCATTCTATTGCATAAACACTAGATAGATAGATAGATAGATATATGTGTGTACTTATACATTTCTATGAAAGTATATCAAAATGCACAGATTAACTATAGTTTACATTGGAAAGTAAGTGACTTGTTAAACAAAATCTATAAACATTGAATAAATTACTTAAATAATAAGAAATATATATGAAATTGTGTAAAGTGATTTTCAGCAGAATAAAAACTTGTATTCCTAATTGTATGTAATGATAAAACTGTGGTGCGTGCTACTTATATTTGATATAAGTAGTATATGACGCGAGTCAAGAATGTTATGTCTGGCGGCAGAAGATGGGGGAAGATCAAAAAAGGAAGAACGGTGATAGAATGCAATTAGTATAGAAATGCAAGAACAATGAAGTCCGAGACAATTATTGAACATTCTGCAAATTAAGTATTATAGTATGGTTTTTCTATTTTATCAAGTAACTTCGATTGTCTTCAACTGTGTCCTCCTTCACTACAAAACTAAAGTGACAATGTTGTCACTAAGCAATGTATATCAAAGTATTTCAATATATAGTAATGATAACCAGTGGAGTTAATCCATGTCAGATAAAGATAGGTATCTAATTTAGATCATGGAAGATGATCATCCGATTTTGTTGAATGTTGGCTAAACAGTCTAGAGGTTAACCGTTCATGCGTGAAATCGAACGGTTTGAGTTTGAATCCTGTATGCGAGATAATGGATGAGGATTGGTAAAGAGTCTTATACTAGGATGAAATGACTGTCAAGTGATCTAACATCGATCGATTCATGATCTCAATAAAAAAAACTTAACAATTTTCACAACTCCCTACTGATAATAATGTATATACTCATGATAATTGTTAACTATGTAATAAATCTGTTATTTATGAATAAACGACAAATATTTCAGTAGTGAACAAGAATGAATGAATTCAAGAATGATGATTAACTAACTTTTGACCTATTTACTGAATGAAATTGCACTCATTATGAAAATTGAGATTATTGTGTTGAAACTGATGTGGCTTGGTTTGTACAGTTGAGAAGTTCAGAAATGGAAAGAAGTAACTATCTAGTACTTGTGTGGTGTATGCTACTTATATTGAC